AGAGAGAGAGAAGAGAGAGAGGAGGGCAGCATTAATACTGCACCATTGTTGAGGAAGGAGTGGGAGGGGAGGCGTGGGAAAAGGGCGAGTCGGGTGAGCGGTGACGGGAGAACGAGGTGGAGGACGGAAAGCGGGGGGGAGGGGGCAGGGAGAGGAACGGGGTCGGAAGGGGCGGGGGAGCCGGGAGGGGGAGCGGGAAGGGGAGGGCGAGGAAGAGGAATTGGAGGGGGACGGGGTAGGAGGGAAGAGGCCAGGATCGGCGGACAACAAAGACGCACGCGTGCATTGATCTCAGTTGGCTTCGAGAGTCTACGTTGCGCGAACGTTCGTGACACGAGGCCAGCCTCGCCGATTGGCGAGGCCGATTTCGTGTACATGGCGGGGCGCGTGAGGTCTTTCGCGGGCTCCCGAGAAGACAGGAATAAGATCGGGCAACAAACCATTACATAAACATAAGTTTTTGGAGGTCCGCGCGGATTTCTCGGATCGGAGCTGGACCCCACTCCTTGGCGCGCGGAGCGCGCCAGGAACGGCGCCGAGGCGCCGCAAGGGCGCCACAGCGCCGATCCAAGACAGGAGCTTGTGACGCGCTGTGTGATGTATTCACGCTGCACTTCCCATGATTCCCCGCCGACGTCTTCCCAGAGTTCGCGACCTCTGTAGCAAAGAACAGAGACTATGTGCTAATGACTCGTGGAGGGGCATGACATTCAGGATCCCGTGGAGGCCGATGTCGTTTTAGGGGATCTTTCGCTTCACTCGGGGGACACATACAGTGCAAGACAAGCAGATGTTCCAATGGCATCCCGGGGGGACTCTGTGTGATACCCATAGACCGAAGGCTTTAGTGTCTTATTGTCTTGTAATATCCTCTTCTACCCGGTGCCCCCGCCCCCCCCTGGAATTTCTAAAATTTGACGTTCCCCCCCTCTCCTCAACCCTCCCTCCGTCGGGTATGTTTCGGCTTCGCGGCCTTGTAGTTTGCTGATTTGAGGTCAGCCCTGGCCGGGGTCCTGTGGAAGGATCCAGGTCGCGAGGCTGGGCTGTCCGGGCACGCAGCAGTGATCGGCCAGATCTTCAGATGGCTTGCGCCCTTTTTGCCGCCTTTCCCGTCCCCTTTTCCATGCTCCTCCTTCCCTCTGCAGCAGCAGCAACTTTAGCTCAGGCAGATTGCCCAGTGTTGATCTCCCGCGCGGCTACAATTCCTATTGTGTGCGTATGTGTTAATTTTGCCGCCCAATGGAGATATGCTGAACCCACCTTCCTCCGTGCAAGAGGGCCAGACCATGGCACGATGCCAGGCTCCTTGAGAAAATGTGTAGTTTCTTTGGGACTTTCCCCCGATCCACGAGGACCTTATTGTTTGAAACCTATTGCCATGCAGCGCAATGAAAATTCCACGATATGCGCTGACAACAAGCAACGACGGGAAGCAGCCAAGCAAATGCCCTGCACCGCGCCGCACCGCACAGCAAATTGCAGCAACACGAAGCAGAGCAATGCAAAGCAACGCAATGCGATGCAATGTGACAGCATGTTCCCAATATGTTCGGCTTGGCACTGGCTTATCTTTCGGCCTGAACCCAAAGAATAATTATCCAAATTGGAGTCGCGTTGGGGCCCAACCACAGGTGATGTAGCACTACCGCTAGACTGCGTCCATCGACTGGCGGGCCAGTCCGATCTGTCATCTTCGCCCTGAGCCAGCTGCATTGAGGCAGTTAAGTAACCGTACCAAAAATGAAGACGGCAGCCCCACAGCCACATTCGCAGATGTGGCAACGCGTCTGGTCATTCAGCAGCAGCCACCCTGGCATAGTTCAAACTTGGGTCGTGCGGCCCGCCATGAACGGGGCCTACAAGGTCGACATCGGAGGCCGTCTTGGATCCCTCCTGGGCCGCCTTGGGACGGTTGTTGGGCAGTAGGTGGGCCATCTAGTGGTTTTCTTGGGGCGGCTTGGGGCTGTATTTCGAGCTCCGCGTGGCTTTCTGAAGCTTTCCCCAAGCGAACTAAAAGCCGAAAGGCCACGGGAGCAAGAAGGCACTGATGCCCCACTGGTGTTTCAGTAGTGTTCGGCTCTGCGGGCCTCGCTGGAGGCCTCTCGGAGACATCTTGGGGCCTCTTGGGACACGTTGGAGACGTCTGGGAGCCTTCGAGGGCTCTGTTGGCAGTCTCTGGACGGTCTTGAAGGGAGCGTGTTGCAGCAGTTTGTGGCGACGTCTAGCAGTTCCCAGCGGTTCCCTGGAAGCCGAAGAGGGGACCAGAAAGCAAAGCCAGGGTGGGCAATCTCGGCTACGCGTGTGAGTGGCCCCTTCGCTGGAGTGACCCTCTGGTGCGGGCCCGCTGGGGTGCCCCGAGCACTGGCCCGCGCACGTGGGCTTGCTCCCCCCCCGCCGGGCGGCGCCCGAACGCCGCGCACCAAGGGCCCCTCTTGCCGAAGGCTGCTCTCAGGAGTAGCCGAGATGCTCCGACGGCGCTTGCTGGCAGCAGGGGAGGTCGGCCCTAGGCTCGGCGGCGAGCCCAGGGGGGAGGCGAGAAGGGGCGTGTCTTCCCAGAAGGCTCGGAAGTCCCCTGGCCTCCTCACAAGTTGTCGGAACCTTCCCCGAAGACGCAGAGCACTTCTCAGAAGGCGCGAGGGCTTCTGAGAAGTCCCGCCGCCTTCTGAGAAGGCCTCCTCCTTCTTCTCATTTCCCCCCCTCGCTCGCCTCCAGTAGACACATTCAAGAAATCTCTGCCAGACAAGGGGGAAGCATCTGACACGCGCCACCATGCGGCTGGCACGGAGGCGGACGATTCGGCGGACAGCCGTCCGGTCTATGTGATTTTCGCAGCCCGATGGCACGCTGCGGTAGCCACGAGTTCGGCATTTCAATGCGCACGCATGCCAGCAAACAGACAGGCTGCTGGTCTGGCCGTGAGCACGTGGAAGGAAAAGAGCTGCAAATGAGTCAGCTCGCCGCAGGCGGGCGACGCGAAGGTGTGACGTGCCAGTTGTGTGTCCCTCCCGTGCGAGTTCAGGCTGGCACGAGCATCCCAGCAGCGAGCCATTTGTCTCCATGCCTCACATGGTCTCACATGCTGGACACCCGTGCACCGGTGACGCAGCCACCACATTGTGGTATCTTACGGAGGCCAGGGGCGGGCAAGACAGTAAGTAATTGTGCGGGCTATGCAGGAAGTTGACCGCTGATCGTGTCGCCTGAAGAATTGGTCGACTATGGAAGGGTCAAGGCCTGGGCATATGTAGGCACAGAGTATGTGAAGCAATTAACGGAATCAGCACCCGCCAGCTCCCAAATTTGAAGACGAGCCAGTTTCAGTTATACAGTTATACATGTGTATATATACATATGTGTAAATATAATATGCATGCACAGATCCATGTGTATATATATATATGCATGTACATGTCATTGTGGGTGGTATCGTTTCCAGGTCTGTTCGACACACCGAAATGCGACCAAGCAAGAGCCATAACGCCTGCATGACAATAGAAGCGTGAGGACGGCGGCAAGGCGAATGTGTTCATTCACTAGTCAGGTTGTGTGCAGTGTGTGCTGTGTCTTGACTGTTCGCATTCTGTGGCCTCTACCTCGGCCCAGCGCTTCGGGATAGCATCTTGCTTTTCTGCTGCCAGCCGCATCGCAACAAGACGGACCAGCCGTCGTACAGTCAAGACGCTGAATCAAGGACCGCCTCGGGCTCAGGAGCGGCTGTGGTTTTCGAGCTGGTCCTTGGGTCCAGGTTCTAGGTCGAGGAACTTGTTCGTGGACGAGGCTCGCCGTGGCCAAAAAAGTCCATGTGTTCCTTATGTGGCGTTCCTTCTGGTAGCACGATGACTGTGTTGCAACAGTTCTTATACACATCATGGAAGCGGCATTGCGGGGTGATGGAGCGACCGACAATAGTCAGACCATTCGGTCCATTGGTGAAGATGTTGGTTGGACGGCATGGTTTTGCCAGGGGGCAGAAAATTGTGAGACGTCGCTGGGCCGTCTGAGTAGAATGGCAAATCCAGTTTGGTACAGTCCTGAGCGCAAGCTGCATCGTCAGACTGGCTTCTGTCGGTGGTCGTCGCGATGCCTATGTTCCGTTTCCCGGAGGAGCCGTGTACTTGCGACGTCGGAGCCATCGAGCGAGTGGCCTCCATGGGCGGCGTCATCACTGTGGCGTCCAGGGCGAATCGCCTTCCATGTCCAACGGACAGGTCGTCACTGTTTTAATGCGGCGGCAGTTCTCGGGAAGAGGAGGAGGTGCACTGGTCGTAGAATGCCCCAGGCAGGAGCGGGGCGCGCGAGTGCAGAACCCGAGGGCACGCCCGATGGCTCTCCGGTGCGGATTGGCTGTGCAAATATATGACAAGAATGATGGACAAGTTTGGTCTGTCCGGGGAGACCCTACATCGCATGACCGATCACAACCTGAATAGTCCATATATATATATATACATACATGTTTATTTATAAAAGTTGTTGTTGAAGTCATGTTCAAGGGTTGCAGTGTTCTGTTATGCTCCCGTTCTGTTACTAGTATCTAGGAATCGCGATGCACGATCAGGAAGAAGCAGCTTCAAGGGGCAATGCTATCAACACGCCGAGTAAGATAGTGAGGATAGGCATCATTACACTGCGCATGGTCCATTCGGGTCGTTACAACGCTTGGGCAGAAGTCTGCGGAAGATGATGTCCTCAGAATTGTTTCGATCCGCGATGGACGAACACGTAGTAAGAATCCACACAAAGAACACATACCATGCTACAGAAGAGTATGGCGCTGATTGTACTATATAGATGGTGGAGAGGGGCGCATTGGGGGTAGGGTTGCTACGGGTTGTCGCCGAATGTGGGGATCCCCCCTGGGCAACTCTCGAACAAATTGAACCCATGGCAAACCTCGAGGCGGAGAAAATAACGCTTCGCCCCCGTCATCGGTGTTATTTTCGTTCTCGTCGTTCTCGTCGTCGTCCTCTCCCTCCCTCTCATATTCTTACTCATTTTCACGGGCGTACCCATGGCCGCTTGCCAAGCGCATGCGTTCCCCCCCCAGTAAGGTTGCCCGAGAGAGCCCCAAGAGGGACCCATAATGGTCCGTACCCATTTTGGCTCAAGGCGCTTGCTTGTCACTCCACTTCGTTGCTACATTGACTACCCCCTTTGCCGTACACTCAGCCGCGCGATGGCGCGTGTGTTGGCGGCGATGCTGATGGCGCTCGCCTTCGTGCAGGCCAGCGCCCTGGATTCGGAGGAGGATCGCCCCAAGGGCGCCCGCAGGCGACAGATTGAGCGCACGCGCGCGGCGGAGCTCGGCGCCGCCATCGCCAAGTCCGGCTGCGCCGACCTCGGCGGCGAGAAGTGGTTCTCGGACGCGCACGGCGAGCTGTTCCAGGTGAAGCAGGACAAGTGCTCGATCTCTTTCCAGCTGAAGAAGAAGAGCGGCGAGATGTACGAGAAGAAGGGTGTCGTACGCGGCACCAGGGTGCTGGTGGAGCCGCCGTTCCCAGAGGGCCAGATGTTGCCGAACCAGACCGTCATGTGGGAGAGCGGCGCCCGCTGGGAGCGCAAGTGGTGAGCACTTGGCTCGCCAGGGCGCCGCGCCTCTAGGTGAGCGCGCGGCCGGGTCGAAGGGTGTCGATGCTCTCGCTTGCGATTCGGTCGGACAGGAAAAGAGAGACCCATAATGTGGCGCCGACACGGCCCCAAGAGCGCCCCAGAAAAAAAGCCAAGAGGCCGAATCGAAATCCCCATTCTTTTTGTGAACCAATAATATTGTGGATTGGTTGGTTGGTCCCCGCACTTATTTTGACAAGTGTGTTCTTAAGCTTTTGTCATTCGCAATGCGCGTTTGCCTCTCCGGTTGTCAACAAATCCAAGAATTATGTTGCGTAAGCCATGGTTATCGGACAATACGTACTGGATGTGGTATTTAAGTTTGTCACATCCCATGGCATGCTTTGTTGCAGTCCACAGTCGGATTCTCCAAATATGCCCGTGTGAATGTTTCTCGCACTTCGTGGTAGTCGTGTCATGTTTCTGCTTACGATTGTCGCTCTATGTCGATTTCTCCACTGTAACGGTTCACGTGAACAGAAAAAGATATGTGGTGAGGCCCGTTTTCGGGTGACTTGTCAAGTTGTTGGATGTGTCAAACACTTTCGATTGCATTTACAAGTGGTATGCCCACACGTACGTAGGTTGAGTGCGCTTGGATTTAACATACTTGCTTGCTTGGTACGATGGCAGGGCGGATGCACTATGTGGTGACGAATTCCATTCCAGCGTACAAGTCAAAACAACATTGCGCTCATGTCAGAAACTCGTCGGAAATACCCATATTCTGGGACAGTTCTCCATACTCGTTATCCCGTCGCTGATCGATGCCGCGTTGAATTCTGACTACAATCTGGACCGTACGAATTTCGCGATGTTAGACCGTACCCCATGAAGTGGAGGATGGAAGGGGGATCGGAGGAGGAGGAGGAGAAGGGAGAGGAAGTTGCGGAGGAGGAGGAAAAGGAGGAACGACGATGGAGGAAGAGGCGGACGAGGAAGAGGAGGAGGAGGAGGAGGAGGAGGAGGAGGAGGAGGGCAAGCAGATGGGCCAGAGCTTTCTTAGATACCTCTCGGAGTCTCTTCGGATTTCTTGCGGGAGTTTCTTCTGTCCTCTCGGGGCGTCTTGGGGGTCTCTTGACAGTCCCGCGGATCTTTTGAGGCGTCTTGATTGCATATGGGGGGCCTTTTGGAACCTCTTGGGGGTCTCTTGGGAGCCTCTTAGGGGCATCTTGGGGGCACCGTGGAAGCCTCTTGGTGCCTCCTGGGATGCCTCTTGGGGCCGTCCCTGGGCACCCTTGGGAGCCTCCGGTGCCATCTTGGGGCCATCTCGAAAGAGATCGATCAAAAGGGGGGACTCTTTACCTTGGCTCCCCCCAGGAGGCCAAAATTGGCCAAGACCTTGTCCTAAAATCAAGTATGGTGGGCTTTTCTCTGGGTCCTCTTGGGGCGTCTTGGGTGCCCCTGGGGGGCTTGGTGCGTCTTGGGGTCTCTTGGGAGCTTCTTAGGGGGCATCTTGGGCGCCTCTTGCGGGCACCTTTGGGAGCCTCGGGGGCGATCTTGGGGCCATCATGGAGGGGATCGATCAAAGGAGAGGGGCTCTTGAGTAGGGTCCCCATGTTTGACCTGGTCTCTCATGCTGCACACCGGCAGCGTAGCCGCCACATGATGGTACCTTGCGAAGACCAGGAGTGGCAGCTCGGTCAAGATAGTAAATCATTAATTGTGCATGCTACGCAGGAAGATTATTAACCACTTATCTTGACGCCTGAAGAATTGGAAGTCTATGGGCGGGCCAGGGCTTGGGCAGATGTAGGCACAGAACATGTAAAGCAGTTGATGCCCCCCACCGCCGAAGACGGCCCAAGTTCAGTTACACATATACATGCATATGTCTACTTATTGAATATATATATATATATATGTATATATTTATATTCCAGATACACTACATATGCATCAGCATATGTATATAATATGCGTTGTACTTGTACGGAAATCTCGGCACGCGTTTCGGTGAAGGCCGCTCGTCCTGAGGTCCTCGTTTGCCTCTGGTCTCATCCGTCAACACGGTGGCTCAAAGCAAAGCAGGGCGTCGGGCCTCTCGCATGGCTGGGCCCTTCGCCGTGCGAGTCCTGGAGTGGGCGGGCGGCGTGGCGGGCGCCTACCTGTCGCGGTGCCCCGCCTGCCCCGCGGTGCCCGACTGCCACTGCGCGGCGTGCCCGGCCTGCCCGGCACTGGCTTCGTGCTCGTGCCCGCCGTGCCCGGCGTGCCCGGGCTGCCCGGGCGGGACCGCCGCGCCGGCGGCGCCGGCCTGGCCCCCGCCGGAGAGCCAGAGCTGCCCCGCGCCGACGGAGGTCGAGCGCGGCGGCGCCCCGGCCTGGGGCGGGCTGGGGCCAGGGTGGTGGCTGGTGATCGGCGTGCTGGTGGGGTGCCTCCTCGGGGTGCTCGGCCAGGCGGTGCTGCGCGGGGGGCTAAGCTGTGCCAGGCGGCTGACGAAGGGCGAGGATGGCAGCGGCGCCGCCGAGGGCGAGGGACTGGGCCTTCGTCCTGTACGCCGACGACGAGCACTTGTGGCACCAGAGGCTGATCCTGGGGCTCGTGGGGTTGTCGGATTCTAGCTACGTCATCCTGACCCCGGACGGGGACGTCTACTCGGAGGACTACGGGGACGACAGCGTGGATGTGGCCGCCGTCCGCTTCTCCGGGGCGTGGGCCGCGGTGCCCGCTGGAGTGCCTCCTGAGCGGGTGTACCGCTTCAGGCAGCAGCCGACAGCTCAGGAGCGGGCGCGGGCGCTGGCGGACGCCCAGGCCGAGGCCCAGGCCGAGTGCCAGCGGATCGCCGCCGCTCGGGGCGATCCAGGGCTGCTGGCGAACCTCGTCTTCCTGCGGCCGCTGCCGGTGGCGGGCGGGGCCGCGGCTGCGCCGCGGGCTCCCCGCATCGGGCCTCTGCAGGGGGCTGCGCCAGGCGCTGCCGCGGGGGCTCCTGTCGCCGAGTGGCGTGCGGCGATGGCGGCCGGGCCCTTCAGGTACGGCGACGTCGTGACTGACCACGCGCGGAGCGGGCTGGCCGTCGGCAAGCGTGACATCCACATACTCCCGGATGGCGTCGGGATCTTCGTCGAGCACGTCGACCCGGCCGACGAGGCCGAGTTCTTCGACCGGGCGGTCGCGACGGATGCGCGGATCACACCGATCCGCCGCAACCGTCAGGACAGGCGAGAGCGGACCTGGGCGGAGATGACGGCCGTGCTGAAGCAGGAGAGCTTTGGGGCGGACTGGCAGCTGCCGGGGCCGCGGTCCAGCTTGTGGTGCATAGAGTTCATCAACCAGGAGGGGAGTGGGCTGCTGGGCCACCACGAACGGTTCAAGACGGCCTGCCGTCTCGACTGGAACTCGTGGGGGGTCTTCGAGCACTTCAACATATGCCAGGCCCTGACCCAGGGGCTGCTGGTCGACCAGCTGGACGGCAGCAACCTGATCATGGTGGAGTACCAGTTCCGGCGGCTCCAGACGATAGAGTTCGGCCACTCCGAGCGGGCGAGGGAGGCGGAGTCGAAGAGCTACCAGGGGAAGATGTCGCTGGAGGAGCAGCACGCGTTCGCAGGGACCACGAGGGCGTCGTCGACGCTCATGATCTGCCCGGAGCTGCTGGACTACGTCCGCACCGAGGTGGAGCGGGAGGCGAAGCTGGCCAAGAACCTGAGAGTTGCACGAGAAGAGCGGGAGGCCCTCCGCAAAGGGCCCAAGGAGAAATGACTTCTGACTCGCGCCGGCTGGGCCCTTCAGGGGCGGGGCCCAGCCGCCTGCCGAGCCCCAGGCCGCCCCCCCACGGTGGCCGCAGTTTTGACGCGGGTGACGACCGACATGTTCCTCGCGATCTTTTTCCTCTGCCACGTCGGCCAGTCGGCGCTTTCTCGGGAGAGGCAGGTGCTGTTAGCCGGTCGGTGCGGCAGCGGGTTGGCGCGCGTGCTGCTGTGGAGCTGGACTGCGACCGAGCGGTGCGCAGCCTCAACGGGATGTTCTCGCATGCGCCTCAGCCGGCTCTTGGCCAGGGCGCGCCAGCCTGTGCTTTCGTCTCGCGCGCCCAGCGCGAGGCCATCGACTTCGTCGAGGAGTCGGCGCGGGCCCTGGGAGCGCCGCCCCCGGGGCTTACCCCCGCAGAGGCTCTTCGGAAGCTTCGCGTGGCGAGCTGGTACGACGTGGACTCTGCCAAGCTCGGATCCTACCGCCCCGACGCGATCTCACTGCCCTCTGGTACGGTTCGGCCGATTCCGCTGGAGACTCTGTGGGGGAGCGGCGGGAGTGACACCGTGAAGGATTTTATATCACAGAATTTGCTGTGCTCCGAGAGGGCGAAGCAGCGACTGCAGGGCGTGGGGCTGGAGCGGGCGTACTCTGACCCGGCCTTGCGGCGCCGGGGTGCTTATGAGGAATTCATTCGTATGTTGCAGGAGCGTGGCCTCGTCGACTTCGCCGAGTCTGGCATCGAGTTCGTCGAGGCTTTCTTCGTGGAGAAGAAGGACAAGAGGCTGCGCATGGTGATAGACTGCCGGAGGGCCAACGCTTGGTTCGCCGAGCCAGCCGGGGTGAGCCTGTGCACGGGCGATGCCCTTTCGAAGTTGGAGCTCGGCCTCAACGACGAGCTGCACATCCAGGGCGCCGACCTCAGCGACGCGTTCTACCACATGGGGCTGCCTGAGGAGCTGAGGGGGTGCTTCTCCTTCCGGCCCGTGCGCGCCTCGGCGGTGGGCCTCAAGCTCCTCGGCGGGAAGCCACTCGGGCGGGGCGCCTTTGTCACGCCGCGGCTGGCCGTGCTGCCGATGGGGTGGAGCTGGGCGCTGTGGTGGTGCCAGCGCGTGCACGAGCGCACCAGCGTCGAGGCCGGCGCCTGTCCCGAGCTGCGGATCGCTGACCGCCGGCCGCCGCCGCCGATGACGCCGGGCGCCCACCTGGAGTACGTCGACAACTTCATTGCGATCGGCACCGACTCCGAGTGGGTGGCGGCGCTCGTGCGGCGCGTGTCTGACGCGCTGCGTGCCCGCGGGCTCGAGGTGAAGGCCGAGGACCATGCTGGTGAGCTGCCTGGAGAGTCGGAGGCGCTGGGGTGGTGCATTGACCGAGGACGGTGCCTCGTGCGGCCCACGCGGGCCCGGCTGTGGCGCGCGCGCCTGGCCGTTCGCGGTGTCCTCGGCCGTGGCCGTCTCCGGGGACGCGACCTCGAGAAGCTCCTCGGGCATCTGGTGTTCATATCTCTTATCAAGCGCGAGGGCATGTCCTTGTTCTGGAGCTGCTACGCCTTTGTCCGCAAGTGCTACGACAAGGAGACCGGACTGTGGCCGGCTGTGCGGCGTGAGCTGGAGTACTGGGACGGCATCGCCCCCCTCTTGTGGCGCAGCCTCCGTTCGCCTTGGACTGACGAGCTCATCGTGGTCGACGCGAGCGAGTGGGGCATCGGAGCATGCGCTGCCCCTGCCCCCGTTTCGCTGGTGCAGAGGCTGGGCCACGTCTCCGAGCGCTGGAGGTGGCACCATGGGCTGGCCGGCTCCGCGCCCCGCCGGCACGCGGGGGCCGCGGCGGCCGCCGCCGCGCTGGCCGGCGACCCCGCCGACGCCGCGCCGTGGATGCTGGGAGCGGAGGCGGTCGCGGCCGCGGGCTTTCCCCCGCGGCATGCCGGCGGCGACGGGCTGGGGGGGGAGGATTCCGCCCTCCATAGTCACAACCCCCAGACCCAGGCCGCCGGCGCAGCCGAGGGGGCCGCCGAGAGCGGGTTCGACGAGGTGCCGCGGGACGTGATCGAGCTGCCCTGGCGCACCGTGGGGCGCCACCGCTGGCGCTGGCCGGAGGAGAGCATGCCGGTCGCCGAGGCGAGGGCCGTGCTGCACGGGCTCCAGCATCTTGTGAGGGCCTCGCGGCACCGCGGTCGGCGCGTCGTGGTGCTGGGCGACTCCTTGAGCGCGGCCGGGGCCGTGGATCGTTTCAGGAGCAGTTCTTGTAAAATGCTCCGAGTCACTCAGGCCATCGCCGCCGTCACCCTTGTCACCGCCACTACCCTCCACTACCGCTGGCTGCCCTCGGAGTGGAATGCAGCCGACAACCCCTCGAGGGGGCGTTTCTCCCCCTCGACCCCCCAGCCGCTGCTGCCTCGGACCAAGGCGGGTGCGGCAGCGCCAGGCGCCGCTGGGCTACCCGGGAAGCCTGCCGATGTTGGCGCGGGAGCGGCCGCCCGCGGCGCCGCCGCGCACCCCGACGGCCTCGGCGACGCTGACCCGGTCTACGTTCAGGCCTCCGAGGACGTCGAGGCCGCCAGCCGCCGTGCGCGTCGCCGGGCCGCCGCTGCCCTCGGGCCCGGGCGCGCCCGCTCGGCGCGCGGCGGCTCAGGCGAGGGGCTCGCCGCGGCAGGACCAAGAGGCGGCGTCGGGTGGCGGCGACTGCGGCGGCGGCTGCGCGCCGGCGCTCTGCGGCCGTGCAGCTGCCGGGCCTGAGTGTGCTGGAGACGGGGTCGATCACGGCGGCGACGCGGGCGCAGTACGTGGAGGCCTTCGACGGCTTCCAGGCTTGGATGGCACGGCGGGGCGTGCAGCCCACGACGCTGGACGACTACGACGAGCAGCTGGTCCTCCGCCTGGACGAGCTCTACCTGGACGGCGAGGGGATCGGGGCCGGGCAGAAGCTCTTCGCGTCGGTGCTCTTCTTCCTGGGGCTGACGAAGGCGGCGGGCTCGCCGATGGCACGAGCGCGGCGGGCGTTGCGCGGGTTCCGTCGGCTGGCGCCGCCTACCTCGCGGCTCCCACTCCCCTTCGAGCTGCTAGGCGCGCTGGTGAACTACCTCGTGAGCGTCTCGAAGCTCGAGGCGGCGCTCGTGCTGTGGCTGAGCTTCGAGCTGTACCTGCGCCCAAGCGAGCCGTACCACATCCGGGCCACCGACTTGGTTCGCCCGGCTCGCGGCCGCCTGGGGCACGACAGCTGGAGCGTGACTCTGCACGCCGCCGAGACGGAGGTGCTCTCGAATACCGCCGAGTACGACGAGGCGCTGAAGCTGGACCTGCCGCGGCAGGAGCTGCTGGGCCCGGCGCTGGAGGCCTCCGTGGCCGCGCGGCTCGGCCCCGACTGGCGGGGGCCTCGCCCCGCGGCAGCGCGCGGCGCCGCCGCGGGCGGCCGCGCGAGCGGCGCGGCCCCAGAGCCTCTGCTGTTCGTGATCACGCAGCGCGAGGTCTCGAGCGCCCTCTCGGGCGCTGCCAGGGCCCTCGGGATCGAGAAGTTCCTGCCCGGCCTGCACCCCTACATGCTCAGGCACGGGGGCGCGTCTCACGACTACGGCAGCAAGGCCAGGTCCCTCGTCGACGTCCAGCGCAGAGGGCGGTGGCAGTCGTGGCATTCGGTCCGCCGATACGAGAAAGGCGCTCGCCTGTCGCAGGTGCTGCAGATGGTGCCCGCTGCGATGCAGGACCACGCAGCGCGGTGCGCCGACTCGCTCGGCGCGATCGTGTCTGGCCGGCGCTGCCCTTTTACGCCTCCCTGAAGACCCGCTTCTTCCTGGAGGTGTTCAGCGGGTCCGGGCGCCTGGGACGGGCGATCGCCGCTGAAGGGCTGCCCGTCCTGCTCTGGGACATCTGCCTGGGCCCCGAGTATGACCTGCTGAGCCCGCAGAAGCGTGGGCTGATTCGGTCCTGGGTTCGCAGCGGCCTCGTGATTGGCATCCACCTCGGGACGCCCTGCAACACGTGGAGCCGCGCGCGGGACATCCCGCCCGGGCCGATGCCGCTGCGGAGTGACTCCTTTCCTCTTGGCCTTCCCAACTTGAGCGTCAAAGATCAGGCCAAAGTTGATGCGGGCAACGTTTTCATGATTTTCAGCGCTGGCCTCATGCACGAGGCCATCAGGGCCAACATCCCAGCTAGCAATGAGAATCCTCAGACGAGCCGACTCTGGCTCGCCCCTCCTTTCGTCCGCCTGCTGCGCTCGTCGGCCGTCAGCTTCACTGTCACGCATTTCTGTCAGTGGGGAGCGCCGTGGCGAAAGGCCACGGCCTTCGCCACAGTCAACCTCGATATGAGTCGCGTCGGTCGTGCGCTGTGCAAGTCTTCCAAGAGAGGAGTTTGCTCCCGCACTGGCCTGCCGCACGCCCAGCTGCATGGAAAAAACGTGGAGCGCGTCTTTAAAACCAAGCTGGCCGAGGCTTACCCTCAGCGGTTGTGCAACGCCCTCGCCCAAGCCTATAGTAATGCCATAATATCTCACAGGACTCGTGTTTTTGAGCGGCTGGTCTTACCAGCCAGTTGACATCTTTGGATCGAGTTTCGGGAGTGCATGCAGTGTGTTTCGTCTCATCTGTTGCTTCTCCGGCTTGAGAGTGTGGCCGCCTCTGCAGAGCATCAGATTCGTCCCACACCACGCCTTGCTGGCCATGGAGAAAGAGCAAGGCCCAGAGATGCGTTGTACTTGTACGGAAATCTCGGCACGCGTTTCGGTGAAGGCCGCTCGTCCTGAGGTCCTCGTTTGCCTCTGGTCTCATCCGTCAACACGGTGGCTCAAAGCAACCAACCGTCCAGCCCCGACCACCGCCCTGTTTTTGTTTCTCATCCTCTCGGCTGCCTGAAGGGCCGCTTTCGATCAGGAGTGCATGCAGTGTGTTTCGTCTCATCTGTTGCTTCTCCGGCTTGAGAGTGTGGCCGCCTCTGCAGAGCATCAGATTCGTCCCACACCACGCCTTGCTGGCCATGGAGAAAGAGCAAGGCCCAGAGATATATATATATATATATATATATATATATGTGTGTGTGTGTGTGTCATTGCGGTTGATATCGTTCCCATGCCGGTTCGACACACCGAAATGCGACTGAGCAAGAGCCACAACGTCTGCATGACAACAGAGGCGCGAGGACGGTGGCAAGGCGGATGCGCTTTTCCACTATTCATGTTGCGTGTTGTGTGTGTGTGTGTTTGGATGTGTGTGTGTGTGTTGTGTGAGGGCTTTGCCTCAAGAACACCAAGGTTGCATTTGAGAAATCGTTGCATCACGCCTTGATCCAGAACAGCATTGGTTAGAAAAAGCAGCACGCATATCAAACAACAATTATCATTACGATGTGGCTGCAAAACAAATCAGCGCATGGCGGCGAAGACGCCCAGGGAAACACATTTCAAGAAATCGTCCTGCATAAATGTTACGGGAGGGGATAGGGGAACAAACACATCGCAAACACATATACTTGCAAAAAGTGTCAGTTTAGCATTGGTTTGATAAAGCGGCGGGGACCCAACATCATTGCAGACGTCATCATCTAGATGTATTATGCCTTGTAAAACCATGACCCGTTTCTTTGCGTGCAATTGTTTTTTGTCTGCAGGATAGTAGCATTGCTTTTATATAAGCAACAAAAGCATGAGGAAACATACGCGAACCAAACTAATCACCATCAAGGAAACTGTGCACATCAATGTTTGTAACTATTGAAACCTGTGTCTGTTAGTGCCAAAGCCAACGTGCGCAAATTATTGAAAAAAAGATCGTATTGTTTGTCTCTGCCGTGTGTTCATTATCCGCAATGTTTCTCATCCTCGACTTAGTTTCGGTTTGGGGCGTGATGCGTACGTATTGTTGCCCATGTCTGTCTCCAGGCAAGTTTATAACCTTAATGCCCAAACATTGGGTTGTTCGAGTTTGTATCGCAATGCTTACAATCGCAGCCACGAACGATATAGTATGGGATCGCTGCGCTTGCGTCATGGGGTTATTTCCCGGCGTTGTGGCACAAACTGAAAATCCAATGCTTAAGATTTTCATATTAGAAATTTAACTTGAATTGAAGCAAACATGGGCAACAAAGCATCCGCACCACGCCCCCAAAGGAAACTACTAAGAATCTGCAAACAACAAGACATATTATTATCTTCCTCCACCTTCCTCCTTCTTTCACCGCGCATTTGGCGCGTCCTGGACTCTTGGGCGCACATGTGGCGTGCAATTGTTTAGTTATTGTCACTGTCGTCTTGCTCCTCTTCCTCGCGTCTTTTGGCACGTAACTAGCATGTCCAGCACGTTTGATCGAGCACGCCTTTAGCGTGTAGTCGTTTGTTTGGGCTCGTATTTGCGCGTGTTTCCCTTTATCGTTGTCCCTTGTTTTCGGCGTGTGGATGTTTCTTCTTATGAAAACGATTCGCATCAATGATGGCAGAATTCCCATCATTTTCGCTTAAGCAATTCAAGTCACCGCGCATGGGGCGAGGTTTTGAAACGTCCCGTGGCCTCGGCCTATTGGCCGAATTTCGAGGGTTTATAATATGTTCTTTAGGATGCCTCGTGGCTGATTGATCGAACATATCCCGATTCCTGGTTCCTTTCCTGGGAGGCTGAGCGGCCGATTGACCAAAAATCTCGCGGCCGATTTACGTGAAATACGAGGCTTCGCGATGTTCGTCCCGCTTTTCCAGCGGATTCGAAACCACATTTTAAAGTTTGTCGTCAGAGTCGATGTTGTTTTGAATTTGTGGTGAGAACACATTCTGAGAGACGTCCAAGAATCCACGGTATTGTTATTTGTTGATATCCGTCAGATAGAGTCAGACGGCGTTGAACCGTTTAGTGTTTTGTTTGTTTCTCCTCCCCGTTTGCCTGTTTTCTTTTTTCCTTTTATGTCATTATTGTTTTATTCGGTTCCATTCAATATTTCCCCACACTCTCCTTGCACGCCCTTTTTCCTTTACTCGCCTCATCTTCCCTTTCTCCCCCCCCTCGCTCCGCTTCCAATGCTGAATAGTTTCGGAAAGAAGAGCGGTCAGGATTGTCAAACAGAGAAACTATGCGTTGGCAGTGAGACAAAGAGAGCGCGAGAGAGAGAGAGAGAGAGAGAAAAAAAAAAAAAAAAAAACATGCGTTTGCATTTTCATTGTTCAGAGCAGCCGTACATTAAAACGCGCACAACGGGCAGATGCTCCAAACATATGTTTGCCTATGTCATATTTATGTTCCAGTTGCTTCCTCCGCTCCCGTTCTTGCACCCGCACGCGCCCCCATTCCAGCTCGCCGCTCCCGCCCTTAGTCCAATCCCATTGCCAATCCGCTTTCCCCACCCAAGCATTCCATCTCCGGCCCCCGCTCCCGTACTCACATTTCTCATTTGTGAAGATGTACGTTTCCCCAGAGGTTCCAGAATGAATTTCAAGAACGGTTGGCGAATTACTGTTCGGAAAGCTCCCAGAAGGACGTTGTGACCGGCAACGCGATATCAATGCAGAGGTTCTGCAGCGCTGTCTTTGGATTGTCTCCGTGATTAAGAATGTAAGATACCAGTGAGGCGTGCAGACGCGCCGACACATCATATATTTGCTGTGGGGTAATTCACCTTGAATGGGGGAGACGTTCAGATTAGCCTGATAAGGCTACCCCTTGAAACATTCAAACCCAATCTGAATGTTGATGCGAATTCCCGCTGCAAACGCTATACGAAAAATTACTTGTCAAAACCGCAGACACATTTGTTAAAAATTGGCGAACTCAAATATTAAAGCCAAACACTAAATACTAATAGTTTTTGACGCTTGGCCCAGCTGACGGGGGTAGCGAGGAAAAGACACGCATAAACAAACAGCGAAGGAAACCAGCCTGTAGCAATTTGCAATTGTTTCGCGCATTTGGAAGGGCGCGAGGCTACCCTGAGCCATTTTGAAGGTAATCTTGGGTTCATTGAGGCCTGCTCCGTGGCCATTTCGAGTCATTTTCGAGCGGTCTTGAGTTTCTTAGGCCGGTTTGCGATCATCTTGAACTAGCTTTGGCTATTTTCCATCATTTTTGAAAATAGCGTGAACTCTCAGCCATTTTGGAAGCAGTTTGTCGAAAGAGAGGCGCGCTCGATTTAAATTGCCCTCTTTTCGAAGGCCAAGATCATCGTGAGGGGGCAAACACTTGCTCTCCCAATCGAAAAAATATTCCAACACCTTGCGATCATGTTTTTTTGTTTTTTGTTTCAATATATATATATATATATATATATATATATATATGTATATATATATATATAAAAGAAAAGGATGAGCAGTCGTGGACGAGGACAACGACCCTCCTTAGCACACTTCTTGCCCAAAAGGCTGGTGGGATACCATAAATAATTATAGTTACCACGTGGCAAATTTCCCCATCCCATAGGGCCACAAACCTTATGAAATATATGTAAAGCCAAACCGCTTTTACACCCTATATTTGGCGCTCTTGGTGGGGTCCTCCATACAGCCACGAAACGTGCAGGACGGGGAACTGTATACAAACCCTGCCATTACGGTGTTTGAGAGATTTGTGGCTGGAAGTGGAATTTTGCATGGGCCATGACCCGTGTACCGATATGGGCAGAAAACCGCGTATAAATCTTATGGCTTTTGGTGGAGGTTCGGCCGCAAAACAAATGAGAAAAATGCCAAATGGGAATTGCGCGCGATATTTGCTACAACCGACGGCGGTTGCACAGCTGCAAATGCGACGGCCTACGGAATATCCATGGAATACAGCATTATTATCCCCGGGCGTTCGGTGGCACCACATGCGCATGCGTTTCAATCGGCAGAATGACCAACCATGATTTAACCGTTTTCAAATTAGAATACCTCGCGCGACGCGCAAACCCTCAATATCTCGGACTCCAAATGCCGGGCGCGTTTTCCAAATTCTGTTTCCCACAGAACTCGTTTGGCTTCGGTTACGCCAAATCGGCATGATGATACCCGGAGAATCGAGGTGGCATTTAACCGAAATTATTTTCCGATCCCGATGAGCATAACGGATTTTGGAAGAAAATGGGTTTACAATGAATTTCAAGTAATAACAGAAAGTAAGATTGAAAATCCCGTGCGCGCTCCAGACATCTGCATGAAGCCTATCAGCGTGTTATTATTTTGCACCGTGGCACGCTGATCAGGTCCAAAAATAAAACGCCCAATCCAATAAAATGTAAATTGGATTTTTTTGTTTTTTTTTACAATTTGTGGAGCGGTAAGCGGAAAGGAAGCCGGATCAATTGGGTGAAATTCTTAATAAGATAGATTTTTGACTATTCAGCCTTTACGGAATACCATGCGTATATTGCAATGCGAAAATTAACAATAATTGAGAATAATGCCGGAACCGCACGCGGATCACGAGATTCTACAATGAAGTGGAATTAAAAAAATATGCGCCCGCGAAATATGAAGAATTTGCCGATATTAAAATCGCTTCAATAAATGCACGACATATTTGAACAACGTGTTGCAATTAGTGTTGCAATGTCAGTTGTCATTAGGTGGGTCATACGGATTTTGCTAATTATACACTTTGGCATTGATATTTACTCCTTAATAAATTCCGCATGGAATCGCAATATTAAAATCAATTCTTTACGCTTCGCGCCTCCCCACCAGCCCATCTTGCAGCAACCACTCTTGCGAAGCATGCCGACAGACGTGTTTTTCAGGCGTATGTCCGTTTGGCCCTTAATATCTTCCCTGTTCCTCCTTACTTCCGCCTCCTTGTACATCCTCCTTGTGAAGCTCCTCCTTTTGGTGTGAATTGTTCGGGTTCTTCGTGGTTTGAGTAGTTCGGGCCCCTCGTCCTGGTGTGAGTCGTTCGGGTTCCTGAGGCTTCTTGGAACCCTCTTCGATCCTCTTATGTCCTCTTGGAGGCCTCTTGGCAGCCTCTTAGGAACCTTTTCGGGGCCTCTTGGGGCCTCTTGGGGCTTCTGGGGAGCATCTTGGAGGCCTCTTGCGGGCATGTTGGGGCCGTGTGGGGGCCTTTGGAAAGCCTCCTGGAGGCCTCTTGGGAGACTCCTGGAGGCCTCTTGGGGCTATCTGGGCGCGTCTTGCGACCTCCTCAGAAGCGCAAATAAGCTGAGAAAGACAAAATTGGATCAAAACTTTAGTAAAATCAATGATTTTGCTAAAAAGGAAAAAGGACGCGGCTCCCTCAGAAGGCCAAAATGAAGCCAAAAACCATAGTAAAATCAATGTTTTTTTACTTCAACGACAAGCTGAGGCGCCAAACTGCCTCCCCCCGCCTCGGGGCCAGAATCCTCATGAAGGTAATCGTTTTTTGGGCGTCCCAGGCGTCGAAAAATACTCCCCTGACGACGCTCGGGACTCCCTTTCCAGGCCCAGGGGGAGGGGGTAGGGGTAGGGATAAACCCCTCCCCGAAGGGGAAGAAGGGGGGGTTGAGGACAGAACGGGCTTGCTAAACCACTCACGCCCAAAGGGGTGGTGGGATTATTCGATAATTTTGTTCAGTGTTCGTTCCCTGGGGCCAAAACGCTTCCGTCAAAAAAAAAGAGGCGAGAGTGGAATCTTAAAGCGTTTTCGCATTACCGAACCAAACGATCAACGAAGTTATTGATTTTACTGCGTTTTGTGAATACCCATTTTGGGAAAACTGTACGAAACTGATCGCAACGGAACTTCATGTCACATGTGTGCCCGAACTCATATAAATGACGCAAGATGGGTTAACGGAGTGAACGAAACGATTAACACGAGAAAGATACGCAAGAGGCACACCAATTAATTTGTTTCATTAATCAATGTGTGAAGTTTATAACATATATTTATTATATATAATATATATATATAATATATAATTATATATTATAATATAGATATTAATATAGAAAAAAAGCAAATAGCTGCCGGGATTGCAAAACACTAGCAAAGTCGTACTCAAACGCATCTGGGGATGCCACACTTTGCGATATGAAGCATCAGGAGGCCCACCCGACTTGGACACCGGAAGAGGTTCCAAGAGGCCCCAAGATTATGAGTATTGTGTAGGTGTATATGATATGTTGTAAGTGTGTGTATGTGTGTGTGTGTGTGTGTGTGTGTGTCTGTGTGTGTGTGTGTGTGGGGGGTGTGATTTTTGTCGCTAAGTGCGCATGCGTTTCTAAAGCCCCAGGAGGCCCCAGACGGATACGAGATGCCACCAACAGAAACCAACAAAGCGCCATGAGACCCCAAAAAGCTTCCGTTCCAGCAGACCCCCAGAGAGCTCCAAGGCGGAGTTTAGCGCACCAGAAGGCACAAGAAACTTCACGAAATGTGAACAAGTTCCCACGGGGTTTTGAAGAGGTGTCTGGGGTGCTAGAAAAGATGTTTGGACTGCATGTTGGGACGATGTCTATGGCGAAGCAGCCATTCTCTGAGAATCACGGTCAAAACCATTCAAATTACAATACGTCTTGAACATATTATATAATAATCATGAAATTCCTATGTTTTTGGACCCTGACGTCGCGATCTGCATGAGGGGCGCCAATGATTTTCGTAATTTCAAACATTCTAAAAAAAAATAAACAAAATGCAAATGACGCGGCGCGTACGCATCAATTGCCTTTAGGCTCTTCCTCGGAAAAGTGCATATAAGAATCTCTATATGTATAGAAAACAATATGGACCATACGTGCATAAATATATGTGCGTGTGTGGTGTGTATATATATATATATATATATATATATATATATACATGTATATGTGTGTGTGTATATATATATATATATATATATTATGTATATACCCGGCGCTGCACCACAATCGCATGCACGATCATGATACTCAACACATTGATCATGATTTTCGTCGACGTCGCAAACCGACCGAATGATCACCAATGCAATGTATAGCAGATCCATCATATATATTTTCCCGGAGGACGGGCCAAAATATTAAAACGCCTCCTAGGGATGGAGGCCGGCAGTAAATGTACCGAACCATAAGAACGACCGATTTTTACACAGGAATCCGTTTAATCAAAAATGTGGAATACTACCAAAACGGAAGGAACACCTCACGCAAACCTTGCTATTGCGGCTTTCTGTGATCTCCTAAAAACGAGCGGCATACGAAAAATACATAGGCCGATATAGGTAGGTAGAAACCGCTTTCAAACCTTCGGAACACGAACCGTGTCAAAGGTGTGCTGATAGGGGCGAGGAACCCTATATAAATTCGGTTTCTGGACCTTCAGTATAACATTCGTGGTGAGATAAAACAAACGAGAAAAAATATAACTGGTTACGATCATGAAAAGGGAAAAACAACAACAAGGAGATTAGCAAAATGCGAAACATTCTATTCAAAACGACGTGTCGCACAATGCTGCGGAGAAATTAAAAACCAAACCACGGTTCAAAGCCAAGAGTCACCGATAACCCGGCGTTTGATACAACAACGCGTGAGGGTGGATACCGCAACGGGTGGTAGCAACGGAAACGCGGAAATCACTATAGATAAATATAAAAACCGGTAGAAATGCTTACGG